CAAAAACTCATGAACTCCCAACAAAGTGTTGAATTTCATGTTGAATATGACAAAATCCCTTATTGTTTACAAGTAGTTTAGCACATCTGGAACGAAAAAGAAGATGCCTTGTCTTCAGCTAAATGGAGGGTCTGATCTCATCCTACCAGAAGGAGAGGAGTAACAATAAAACAACTCCACAATCGTCCCTTGCGATGACAGGACTAGTAGAATTTTTCCAGTCCTGCTGGCAAACTGTAGAAGGCAGAAGTCTTGCGGAGACAGAAGGAATAAAAACAAAATGTCTTGCAAAAGACTAGAAAACTTTCCCAAAGCATTTTTCTTTAAACTTAACCGCAAGATTTACAAGCTTATTATTAGTTCCCCTCTCCTAACATAAAAAGAGAAATTTAAAAAGTGTAGATTAACACATTTTTGGATATCTTCCAAGCTCTCAATTCCTCTGCTTAAAGGATTATTTTGACAAATCAAAGATCACTTTTTGGGTGGCCTGGAGAGATGTGAATTTGTGTTCTCTCTGTAGCAAAAATGATCACTTCTAGAAGGGTGCTTGCTTAGTTGTGCCTCAGACAAATACAGAGGCAAATCCAGTCCAGCTCCTGATCTAAGAGGCAGTTTAAGAACAAATCAAATCACTGGGAAAGAAACAATTGCCTTGGAATGGAAAAAAATTATATATATATATATATTTTTATATATATATTCACTTAAAGGCAATCTTTGTAAACAGGTTGAACAAGGCTATGAGGCTGGAGGAACAGATGGGAAAATGGAACAAACAGATGGAAAAACTCTATTTCTGAAAAAAAAATAATCTATTTGTAAAGCTATAGCTACTTTGAATGAATGTTTCAGTGTTAGGGAGCTGAGGCATCAGAAAATTCATAACAAGGCCATAAATTCTTACATCTGAGATCAATAAGATGGCAGGTCTTTTATGCAGGTGAATAAGGTGCTTCCCAAGTAGCCATGTACATTATTTATCCATACTTAATGCCTCCATCCACAAGGATGCTTTGCTGGCCTTTAAGGCTGTATCTTATTCATTTTACAGTTAAAAATTATCTTTCAGCTTTCATTAACCATCACTGGCTAATATATTAAAAGAAAAGGAGCAAGTTCACCTTGCTTTCTGTCATCTAATCAGAGGCAAGAAATGGGCCTGAGCTCAGTAGCATCATTAGAAAAGACTTGATGGGGAAGTAAAAGCATCTCCATTAAATGCCTCCTATCCATCCAGCTATTCCTGGTCAGCTCTCTGAGTAGTTACTTGGGGGAAGATCAGGAGAAAAAGAGGGAGGGAAGGTCTGGTGCTACACTGACTCTGGGAGGAAACCTCACTTGCAGCAACCAAATGATACATGGGTTGAGACACAGCCTTGCAGTAAAACTTGGATTGTGTGTTTTAGTCAAAGAACCAGCACCTGGAGAAATAAATTCAGCACTCATTTCGCACAATGTTCCTTGGTGAAGATGGGTGAGATACTCACAGAAAAAAATGTCCAGAAAGTCTCCCTGGAGTAAATGAGTTCAGCAACCTCCAAGCAGTGAATAGGATAAGCAAAACCAAAAATACATTACACAAAATGCTAACTTACTCTGAGGACTCAGGTGATGGGTGGTTTGGGCTGGGTAGGCAGTGCTAATAGGTGCTGTTTTATGATCTTGGCTTTAATCCCTCTGAATTGCAGCTTCACAGCTGCGAGAAGGGACAGTGGAAGTGCTCCAGCTCACTGGGGAGATGCAAAGAGTGGATTTTTGACTGTGTGCATTCAACAGTGTGTAAGTAGAAAAGGATGTTTGTTTTCAGCCTGGGGACTGGGATGGGGATATGGTGGTGGGAACCCACCTGCCAACTGTGTTTTGCTCTCTCCCTTTTTTCAGGTCATTTCTTTTAAGTCAATGCAGAGCTTTTAAAGACTGTGTCCCATATCTGGGTCTTAGCAGATTTGCCCACATGTTTTCCTGTGTGTCTCTGGGACTCATAAAAGCGTCTTTAGTGCTCAAGTAAGTTCCCCTTTGAGAAGGGACTGTCAAAGACAGGCACTAATGTCATTAGGAGGTTACAAGGGGGAAACAAGAGAGAATTTGCTACAGATCCTCATTTCCATAATCTTGCCTTGGCATCCTCGTTTGTCAGTTCTTAACCTCAATTCCTTAACCTCCAAATCTGTGGAGTCGTTGACCTTGGGGATTTGTCTTCAAACTGATTTCAAGTTTTAGGCAATCTAAATTAGGCTCCCTGTGACAGAAGACAAAACTTGGTCTTTGCACCCAAATGTGAAAGACAGGCCCAGAGTGCAAGTGAAATCTTGCAATCGTTTTTTCAAACCATCTGCCCATCTGCAGTCCCAGAACAATATCAGTTCGGTGCTGCCTTCCCTCTCCCTCTCACAGGAATAAAGAAATTACCATAAACAAAGCATATCAAGGGTCTTTTTAAGCCAAATGCAACCAAGACACATTGCTTCAGAAAGGATCAGGAGGGGAAAAAAAGAGCTGCAGGGGAAGTTTCTTCCTAATTCCCATTAACTCCAGTTTGGCCAGTGATGCTGGACACTACAGTGTAATTTGGAGTGGATGGTGCTGTGTCCCTTTCCGTGGGTGCTCCGTTTCCAAGGTATTTCTATGGTAAACAAAAGTGATCACCACACATGCAAAAACACACACACACACAAAAGGAAAAAAACTGCAGAACTGCTGCCTAACTATGTAGAGGAGAGAGAATACAAGAAAATAGGGAAATTAGGCTGGACACAAAGAGCCTTTTGGTCTCTCAGGCCATTTCTGCATTGCACATGGCAGTCAAACCCCTGCCTGAATCATGCTATTTATTTCAGGGAGTAGAGCCATTGTGAAAGGATGCATTTATTTCCCAGAGTGTGCTCTGGGTTAGAGAGGCTACGGCAAACTGGCAGGGCAGCTTGGCACAAGGATTTTCTGGAGCAGCAGGTAGAGATGAACAACGGGAGCTGGACCAGTCCCTGCATGATGGGGAAACAGGGGAGGCAGAGAGATTAAATAATTCAGTGTGTGTGTTGATGTGGTGCATGGAAAAACACCGCCAGAAGTCACGAAGTTAAATGCTCATGTGCCTTTTCAATGGATCAGAGAGCAGGTTTTGGGGGTAAAGTGTGGGAAACAGGCACATCCATGTTGGGGAGCAGCTTGTGCAGTGGTGGCTGCAGAGAGCCTGCCCCTGAGGTGCCGAGAGGGGGAAGGAGATCTGTGGGAGCCTCAGCCTCATTATTTTTATGTTCAGCTGCCTAATTACTACGTGTCAGCTGTCTGTTGGAAGGAACGATGTACTGCAGCCTCTCGTTTGGGAATTTATAGTGATTAATGGGCCTGGAGGGAATGACTAACGAGGAAATGTTAGAATTAGTAAATATGCAACACCGTGCAATGAGTAAACTGAGGGACATGACAAATGAGCCCAAGTATGTGAAAGATGTAAATGGTGCAGAGGGACAGTCTTTGGGAGGCCCCAGGGACCTGCAGGAACCGGGAGGAACTGGAGGATGGGAGCAACGCAGGTGTGAGCCCATGCATTGACAGCAAACCAAGTGAGAAGGACCCTCCAAAGCCTAGACAGACCTGGAGGAACAAACTCACTCTGGCACAGCACTGTAACAGCACTGAAGCCCTGTTTCCCGGTCTGTTGTCTCCCATGGAGCACAGCAAAGAGCCCTGTGTTGGGTGATCACAGCAATCAGTTCCCACACCAGGACCTGGACTTAGGTACTGCAAGACCAAACCCACTCAGTTTATACATTTCGTGTGCAGAAATTGCTTTCAGCTTGACTTGTTCAGAAGAATTTGTTTACTAAATAACAGCTTTGCTGCGTGCATGGGACCTGTAGCGGGTCCAAGACCCATGTGAAGTAACACCTGCAGGTTCAGTCTTACAGGCAAGGACAATAGAAAACAGGGTCCTGGTTTTGGGGGCTACTTTAATTATATTTCTATATAAGGGAGATTTATAACCCCCCAGAATTACAGCATGCAGGTGTTCTTGAATGCCTGGCACTTTAATACTGTAACACTTGAAAAAATGCTACTAATTTCAGTAAATTTATTAAAACCTGTAAAACCGTTCAAATGAACAGGATTAAGGAAGAAGAGCAGCTGTCTTACTTTCTTGGTCTAACATCTCATTGATATCATCTGGCAATCACTGGTCTGTTACATCTGTCTGTTAACAGCATCTGCAGGTGAGAACGTTCCTTGAGCAGTGTAAGGTAAATCTTTGTTGATGTTGCTTTTTTATAAGAAGAAATTAGAACCCCAGCTTCAAATGCTCTTGAGTTTTGGGTTATGAAAATCTAGAATTATATAAGCTACAGAATACTGAAATTTGGTCTCATTTGCACCTACCAAACCCCTCACTCCATGTGGCTTTTCCATTTTATTTCCAGCACAGCAACATTATTCAAATTTTGCCCAATTGAAAGATGCAGCTGTTTCTATTTTTGGTGCATCCCTGTTAGAGAATAGGAACCAAACAACAATTCTGCACTGTGTTTGGAGATCAGCAATATTCCGTCTGTAAGATATTTTTCACTCACTGGAAACAGAAGTCAGGGGAGCAATAGCTTAGGTGCTTTTGCCCTTTAAATACTGCAAAGCAGCTGTAATGTTATGTTTTCCCCATAATAGACATTTCTGAAGGCTGAAGCAATTTTCAGAGGACTTATCTGCATCATAGCTAGGGTTGTAGTTATGGAGTAGATAATTTTCCTTTTCCAGAATTCCTCAATGCAAAATGGGAATTATTTATCAGGAAAAAAATAAACAACCACCACAACAGAACAAACACCTTCCACCCTGTTACAATCTGCTTAAATGTTGCAGGAAGAACTTCACATTCAAATATGCCCCTGCACAAAATTTAAACTCACACAAGTTATCTGTTGATATCAAAACCGATATTTTCATTTTATTAATTGCTAAGAGATGCAAAGAGAAAGAGGAAAAAATAAGAAAAGGTTGGAAAAAACTAAGATTACTTTTAGAAGCATAGGAAAGGAACCACTGAGCTACCTTTTCAGCCGAGATGGGAGGGGGCGAGGGGGGGATCAGGGAAGAAGCAGTTGTTTTTTTCTCTGTCTCTGATGCTTTGCAATGTTATCTCTTAGCTGCAGCGGGGGGGTCTTAGCAGCTTGGTTTCCTGGAATGCAGCCTGGATGTGTGGCCTTGCTGCTCACATTGAGTGTCCCAGGCCGTGCAGGGTCCCGGTCCAGCAGCATCTTTGGGCCCGCAGGACGGGCAGAAGGACGGGGTGTAACTCACGAGTGGGCACGGCGGGTCTCAGCTCTCCAGGCCAGCAGAGTTTCAGCCTCGGGTGGCAGGCAGAGCAGGGGAGGGAGAGCAGGGGTGAGAGGTGCGCCGTGACTGTAATCAGTTCTCTCTGTCCCTTTCCTCTCCCTCATTTTCCAAAATACTTCCTCAACTTTTGTAGTGTTCAGAGGAGGTTGTACATGGTTTCTTGGCATGCGTGATGTTCGAAGAGGTATGATAAACATAAACAAGAGCAGGATCTTTTGGCAGGAAAACTCCAGCAAGAAACCCTGGTGAGGGCTTCTGGTAGGAAAGCAGACAGAGAATTTTGGGTAGGAAGTTTTGACATGCAGAAAAAATGGTGAAACATTATTTTTGGCATTTCTATATTATCTGGTTGTTACACACCCCCAGACCAATCAACTAATCTCCTCCGTGAGAATTAAATAATCTAAATAACTCTTGGTTTGGTTAGTGAACAGCATCTAAAACCCATAAAATGGAGGGTGAGAAAGGAATTTAATAATCTCTGATAGTGTATTGCCATTCAGTCTGTGTTCATTGTGGAAGGCATGAGCTTTAACCCTCACACCTTGGCTGGCACAGGTTAGAATCATAGAATCATAGAATATCTTGAGTTGGAAGGGTCTACAGTAATTGAGTCCAACTCCTGGCCCTGCACAAGGTAACCCCAGAAAATCACACTGTGTGCCTTAGGGCATTGTCCAAGTGCTTCTTGAACTCTGGCAGGTTTGCTGTTCACTGGCTGGTCCAGAGGACTTTGAAGCCAGATGAAAGATTAGAAGGGTTAAAGGCCGATTGAATTCACAAACAAGGTACATGACTTTACTTGTTTGTGGTTATGCAGCAAAATCACCATGGAGCTGGGAGGAGAACATGTTTCTTGACTTTCAGGACTATGCTTTACCCACAGATCTCTCACTTAAGCTTTAAAAAACCTCTCCAGTGAAGTCCATAGGGTGACTTGTCTTGGAAAATACAACTTCAGTAAAAAAAGGTTTAAACTATTTCCCTTCATTGGATAGATCTAATTCCCAGTACCTACGTCATGTAAGCAACCCCCCGAATTCAGCCTGTCTGCTGGTTGTATTTGTGTTACCTGAGTGTTGCACAAATGGACTGTTCACAGAAGCTTTCTGCATTGTTGTCTTCTGGTGTCCCTCTCATCAGTCTGACTGAAGCTGGAGTTGCTTCTCTTTTTCTCCATCCTGGCCACAGCATTTTGCACGTGGAGACTTGTGAGCAGGACTCACCTGTTCTTCTGGGCTGCTGCAAAGGAAGTGATTGAGGAGTACAACAGAAAGGACAAACCACTAATCATTTTTAGGGAGACGAGGAGAGAACTGATCAGAGGATGACTGTGAGCTCCTACAGGTAGCAGCAGGATCACCCTGTCTTGAAAAGTGTTTTAGGGCTCTGAAAGCGAAGCAGAACCACCAGTGCTATTCACCTCCAGTTGCTGATTGGATAACAGTGATTTCTATATTTATATTTTAAAAGAACAAGTACTTCCCTTACTTGTTTGTAGAGATCAATATAGAGACCATCAACACACCAATCAACTTTTTCACAACAGCTTGACTCCATCCCTTCCACTGACCCTGCTCCATTTGCACCAAAGTCACTGCAGAGCCTTTCTTTGGTCTCTCCTAAAGCAGAAATGGCAATAGGAAGGACACTACAACCTCCCCTCTCCATAAAAACACTCAAAAAGTCTATTTTGGCAAACCAAAGACCTCCTCCAGTGCTCCCACAGGCAATGGGAAGTATCTCACGAACCCAAACCTTCAGGAGCAGCCCAGCTCCTGCCTTTTCTCTGGCAGCAGTGATGTAAAACATTAAATCCCAGTCTCAAAATTGGGACTTTTTTCCTTTTCCATAGGTCTGTGGCCTTGGCCAAATGCTACTTCCCATCAGTTGTAACAGTGCTGTGACTGCACACCATGTGAGGGATGAGGTCATCTTCCATGAGAAGGTCCAGGACTGAACCAGGGCTCTCACGTTCTCTGGTTTCACCACTGGCAAAAGCAGTTCAACACTTGGCTGAAATGATGAAAAAGAAAACAATTAGCTGAAACATTATAAATACTCTAATTACAATCAATATATCCTCGAATAATATATTTAATTTCAATCTTCACAATGCTGGCTTTATTTGGGCGCTGTACATCCAGGGGGAAAGGGATTTCTATTTTGCAACAGCAGAACATGGTGTTTTGAATGCACTTTTTCTGTCGGAAAATGACAGGATGGAAAATCCACAGCTATCTCTACTCATAACACATCATGGTTAGGTGTGTGTGCATAGCACTTAGCACAGCATAAAACATAACATAGCACATAACACATCCAGGTGGGTGTGCATATGGCATGGGCACAAAAAGTAAGTTTTAGAAACAAAGTTTGAGGACACAGAAACTATTGGAAAAGGAGGGTTAAATAGCAGTCAGATCAGATGGTACAAGGAAAGCTATGCTTTCTAGATCTCAAAGAAAGTTAAGATGCAAAAGCCAGTTTGCAGGTGACACTGAAAACACTTTGGAGGTCCGTTCATTTATTGTTGGGTGCAGGGAGAGCTGGTGAAAGAAAAAAAAATTGAAATACAGACAGTACTGAACTTTCAGCAGAGACAAAGTCAAAACCCAGCTGATGTTTCTGAGTCAGAAGCAAGTGCAACTGGTCAAACATGCCACACACTTTCTTCCCCTCCATCTGGAAGTAACATGCCTTCCAAATTTTTTGGGAGCATGAAGATTTCAACAACAGCCCCAGCAGAGCTCCCCTGTGCTGCACTGTTTACTTTTGAGGGAAATTGTTGACTGCTTTTCATTTTGCCACATGTGAGACTAAACAATCCACTATCCTTTTATTCAATAAAATTGTTTAATATTCTAAGTTTCCTGTGTGATTCAAAAGGGGACTCTTTCTAAATGCCAGCCTCTCCTGTTGGGGGGTGGGAAATGCCTGCTTCTGGCTTGCTTTAACAACAGGCTGTTAAAGGCAGATCAGCCTTTCCAAAGCAAGGGGCCTTGGGCAGTGCCAGGAAGAGGTGCCCAAAACTCAGCCAAAATGGGTCTAAATATCGTCCAAACCCAGGGGAGGAAAGATTTTTAATAGATCCCCTAAAAAGGCAAAAATTATTTGCCAAAGGTTGCAGCAATATCACAGTTAATGCAGATGATTCTCGTGGTAAACATGGGGAATTAATCGCCTGAATTGCCTGAAGTGGGTCAGTTATCACCCAGGGAACCGCTGGCCAAGTCTGACCTCTCCACCTCACACCTGGGTGCAATTTCCAGCAGCCCAGCCGCTGTTTGCAGAGAAATCAAAGCTGATGCAGCCGCTGACTTCTAAGATCTCCAACAGGGAGATCTCAGCTGTGGTTACCAGCTGGGCTGCGCAAGTGGCATTTTCCAAAAAGCCCATCTGCCACACTGAGGCTCCAGTAGCCAAGAATCTGCTACTTACTACCACAAAACTGCTCCAGATTTTCATTGGGGTGACTACAAGCATTTACATTTTGGGAGGGACAGAGAAGGTGGATTTTAGAAACTGTTACTTTCAGTGTTGAAAGGAAATTTTTATCTTCGTGCACTGGTCCAACCCTGCCTTTTTCTCTGCTTCTTTCTTGTTTTACTACTTCATTTTCAGATAGGTGCCCTTGGCTTCCCAGGACCATGGGCCATCTTGGCTTTTATCTTTCTTGACATTTTGCATCTGTTTTATGTCTCTATCTGCCTTTGATTTCAGCCTGGCTTCCCTTTTCTCATATTCAAGCTTAGAGGCAGAGGCAACCCAGCTGAGATTCACATCTCCACGGATGTTAGATGTCTCCAGGGTTGATGTCTGCATTGCAGCTAGTGGTCTAGATTCCCTTTAGCATCGATGGAGACAAATGAGTGAGTAAATCATGATTTATCTGAGCCACTTGAGGCATCTTAATTTAGCGCAGGGTAATTCCTGCAATACAAGCATCTCTTTTGCTCAGTTAACCACCGATGGAGAAGTCAATGTCAGGAGACATGGCTTCTATGCTGTACCAGAAAAATAAATTTTAAAAGTGCTCTCAACATGCCTTTCTTTTGGGAGAATCCTGTCCCTTCACAGGTGCCTTTCTACACCCCTTGGCTCAAATGATTCACAGGCACCTGCCTTCCCAGGTGATGCCATCAAGGTTCATGTACCTGGTCATGTATTTCTGCAAGGTCTGGCAAATCCACCCCAGCTTATTGCCAGGGTATCTGGTGTGAGTTTTCTCCAAGAGGCCACGTGAAACCTAAAATACCATCAGTGACCCTATTTGAAGAGTATGGCCATTTATGTGCAGGCAGTCAGGCTACAGAATGAAGGTGTTTTGGTAGAATAGGGGATTTATCATGATGGACGAAGGACGTTTTTAGCTCAAGAGGCAGCTGGTTTTCCTGCAACCAGATGGCCACAGGGTCCAGGCCAAACTTTGTATCTTGACCATGCTCCAGTGTGATGATTACAACTGACTGAACTCAGAGTTTGGCCACTGTGAGAATATTAAACACCTCAGAACTGTTTCTAAAGATTATTAAATCAGTGTAGCACCCAGGTCAACATCTCACCACTGAGCTTAGGAAAACAAGAGGCATAAATCAACAGCTTTAAAATACGTGTCAGTGAGAAGCACACTCTAAGAACAAGACACTAAACCATTAAAACTGGATGGAAGTGCTGGAGCCCACCTAACACACTAGAGAATTGTAAAATGCACCAAATCTGAGCTCAGATCCTGGTTTTATGAATGTGCATTTTATCAATAAAAGCATTGGCTACAAACATCTCAAAACCTTCTGACTGTCATAATTTGGCTTGATACTGAAATTTGGATGTTTGAAGCACCTCTATTACTTCTTCATAGAGATGGAATGTGATTATCCAGAATTACATACCAAACCACAGCCATAAATTCAGCTTGAGTTGCCCTTACGCTAAATGACTCCAAAACAGATGTATGAAAACCTGATAATAGTAATCTTTATATTACTGTAGTAAGACAACTGAGTGCAGTGGCATCTTGGGAACTTGCTGTCAAGGAAATTCCTGTTCTGGGGAGCAGCAGGAGGAAGAGGGAAAGGAGCAGGATGAAGGTCTGGTACCTATCTGCTCTGGTCATCTGGAATTAATCTGCAGCCAGGTGTCTGTCAAAGCTCCTAAATTCTTTGGGTATCCTAGAGGCAACTAAGAGAGAGAATGCATGAAAAGGAAGTCAACTCTGGAAATGGATCCCTTGCACATGATACAGCCTGAGCACCCAAAAACCGCACCAACAGAAACCACTCACTTTCCTGCAATAAGGCAGACCCTATGCCTATGGATAATATGTATTTTAGAGCTAAATGCAGGGACCTTGAAGAGCCATTTAGCAAAGAAAAAAAGGAGTAAATAGGAATATAAATAGATGTAAAACTACTCTCACTGTGATGCCTGCAACTGGCTTCTGTGAACTGCACGACACGGCTCCTCGGTGCATCCCGATCCAGGATTCATCCGTGGAGGGAGGATCTTCCCCAATGCATCTGCACTTCATTAGTAGTTTGTAGACTGCTAAATGAGCAACAGACCCCAGCATGAATGTGCATTGTCTGAGCTGGGCTGATCACACTGTGTGATACAAGGGAGTGTTAAAAAAAACTGCTGTTCTTCAGTAAACATTGGAAAAGGAGACTGAAGATTAATTCAAACAGCTTGGAAAACTGAAACGAGAGAAACAAGCTGAATATTTCCAAATATGGGCTACCTTACTCCAGTATCAAGCCAGGAGAACCCTGGGCCATGCAAGCCAACCGAGCTGCAACTCCCTGGATAACAAGGCCTTAATTAAAAGCTAAATTGCACATACATAAAAAAAACCCACAGGGCTCACTTCAGCCACAGAGGTCATGAAATCACAGGCAATCATATGACAAACATTAATCCAAAAGTCCAGGGAACACTGCTCTGCACACACTCACTCAACACAAGCCACAAAAACACTTTGCAAAAATGCCATAACGAGCTTAAGGCTTTTAGTACAAATAAATAAAGCCACAAATAGTAACACCAAAGGAAGAGAGAAAAGGAACCACCAAGGGCTCTGGTGTTCTGTAGTGGGGAGTTGTTCAGTGAAAATGCCAAATTAACTCCAAGAGAAAGATTCTCTCCAGTGCTCCCCCACTCCCCAGCTCCTCACTTCCCTGCTTCACTCCCCCAGCAGCTCCTGCTAATCTGATCTGTAGGAAAACGTCTTCCCTACTCCAAATCTGGCACTCATTTTACCCTCACATACAAACAAAACATGCCAACCAGCACTTGAGATGTTTTTCTTTAATACCATAAGGAGCAATAACACACCATGTTCAACATCCCATCTCCAGCTGCTTTGCAGAAAAGCAAAAAACCCCAACTCAGACACCAAACTATGCACAGGGGACATGGGGAGAGGAATAATTAGCTGATTTATGTAATTCCCACATTCAGCCCTGGTTTTTTTTCGCACCCTGTGTTGGATGGTCCTGACTCCGACCACCTTGAGCAGCACATCTCCCCACACATGCCATGGCACCAGGGATGAGCACAGATGGTCCCACGTTGACGTTGGATCCAGGAGGTCAGTGCAGGGTAATTTATCTCTCAGAGCACAGCAGACCCTGGGACTCAGCTGCTTTAATTTGGGGGCAACCCAGCTACTGACATGGACATCTGCTGATGATCTACTCCTCTGTTTCTGCACTATTTTTGCCATGAAAGACCATCAGCTTTCAATAAAAGGAGTAAGAAAACCTACAAAAGGGAGGAAATTTGTATAGGGTGAACCAGGGGCATTGTCCCATGTTGGCAGTGCTGACCCACCAAATAGCACATTATGATGTACAACCTACGCTTGCTAAGTCTGTATTGCTAATTTTGACTCAAGATCACCATTTAATGAACTTTATTTGCATTTTCATTCCAACCAGAGGCTTGCAAGACCATTTCCTTTGGAAGAAACACCAACTCAAAGCTCAGCACAGTGCTTGTGGATGGTGGGGTTGCCCACAGCAGGACTCCTCTTAGGAGAAGGTTCCCTG